TGATTGCTAGCCATACTTAAACCCCTTAAAATGTCTCACTCTAAATGAAGAAAATTTTCCAAACTATTATTTTATACCTCACCTATCTTTCAAAACTAAACACACTGAAAAAGTCGTTTTTTTCTTACTGCCTTAACTTCCATACCTTTCACTCCTTGATTAATCCACTAATTCAGACCTCCAAGATCATCGCTCACCTATTCCTGCTCTCTCTCTAAAGTTATTAATGATCTTTGATAATTGCCAAATTCAATGACCTTTTCTCAGTCTTCACCTTTCTTGACCATTTCACAGCATTATAGCATATGACACTATTGACCACCTTTCTCTTTCTGGATACGTTCTTCTCTTGGGGATACTCCCTCCTCTCTCTCTACTGGATTTCTCTTATTTCTCTTTCTATATGTTTGGCAACTCCCTTCTTCTTTGATGGATCATCATCTGCATCACACCTCCTAATTACGGATATATCCCAAGGTTCTGCCTTGGGCCCTCTTCTATCTATTCTCTCCCTTATTAATATCACCAAATCCCATGGGTTCAAGTATCATCTCTATGCAGATAACTCTCTGCCCTAGTTTCTTTCCTGAGCTTTAGTCCAGCACTACTAATTGTTTATTTGATATTTCTAATTGGTTGCCCAATAGGCATCTCAGTTTAATTCACTGTATCCAAAATAGAACTCTTTATCTTTCCTCAAAAAGGGAATTTTCTTCCTGACTTCTCTATTTCTGTCCAGGGTGCTACAGCCTTCCAGGCATCTAAGTTCACAATTTAAGAATTATCCTCAACTCTTCACTGTCCCTGACCCCAATGAGTTTAGCTAATTGTGAAGTCTACCTTCACAGCAACTCTTATATCTCTCCACTTCCCTCTACTCTCATGACCACCACTTGAAGTCAGGTCTTTATGACTCCTCACCTGGGCTATTACAATAGCCTCCCAATTAGGCTCCCTTCTTCAATACTCTCTTGCTGTCTAATTCATCCTCCACCTAGCTGCCACAGTGATTCTTAAAGCACATGTCTGATTATGCCACTTCCCTGATCAAAAAGTTCCAGTAGCTCCTTATTGCCTCTTGGACAAAATACGAATTCCTTTGTTTTCCATTTAAAGCCCTTCACAATCAGACACCAGCCCATCTTTCCAGGTCTATTACACATCACTCTCCATCATCTATTCTACATTTCATTTGAACTACTCCATTTGCTGTTCCTCATACATAACCTATTTCCATGCTTTAGCACTGGTGGTCCCCCATTCCTGAAATGCATTCCCATTATCCTCTGCCTCTTGGATTCCCTCTCTTCTATTAAAACTCAGTTCAAATGCTATCAAAGGCTTTTCATGACTACAATCCCATCTGCTAGGGCCCCTTTCCCATTACACTGACATTCCTCTATATTCCATTTACTTTCTACATATTTTGTATTTACATTCACCACCCAACCACCAACAGAATGTAAGTTTCTTGAGGGCAGGAACAATTATTTTCATCTCTGATATGTCCAGGGCCTGACAGAGTGCCTACTACTTATTAGGCACTTAGTAAATGTTTGTTGATGTGACAGATTGATTGATTAACCTCTGTTCCTTCTTCTGAGTACTTCTGATTTAAGACAACCTTGATGGAAAACCTCATATGACCTGACAAGCTGAGGATTCCTCAAAAAGGCCAAAGGTGCCAAGTTTACTTCATTTGGACCACAATGAAGGGTGGACTTATCCTATTAAGGGGCTTTCATTGGTTGTTACCTTCACTTTCTCCTTCTTTTGGTATGAGCACAGTGATCTCAATGTAGCCTGATCCTTCTTCCACCTTAGCAGTTCTTATTTCAAGGGGGTGAGCAACAGGATTAAGGGAAGAATGGTTCTCTCTAGGACTCTCTTGTGAGTTACGCATCACTTTGGGGAGACCAGACTACCTGTGATTTCAGTGAAGGAAATTCCTAACTTCAAAACTGCTCTCCCAGCACTGAGACCCCAGAACTCAAATTCCCCTACAAGCAAAAGTAAAGAAGTCAGGAAACGCAAAGGGAATTCAAGAGAAATCTCTCCATTCTGTGAGTATTGTATGTATTCTGTTTGTCTTTTTTTTTTCTACTGGGAGGGTAGTGCCTGAAAAATGGGACAGACTTAGAGGAACATGGAACTAAATTCCTTCTTTCCATCTCAGGGAGAAAACCCTGTCCTAAATTGTGAATGGAAGGATATTCTTCCTATATCTTCCCCCTGGATTTTCAATAGCTATTGAATAGTTGAAAGAAATAACCTAACTGCTGAAATTCCATGGAAGGAATATTAGGGTCTTCTAAATTCTTGGACCCTCAGCAATACATTTCATGAAGGGTTTCATTAACCCTTCACTCCTGGCCAAGCTGTTCAATAGATAAGGGCCTCATCTTCTGCCAATGCAGGGATGTTTGTTGTTTTTTGTTTTGTTTTGTTTTTACTTTTTAACCATAAATGCATATAGTAAAAAAAAATGTGGTGAAGGAGATAGACAAAATAATTTCTCTAGTATCACATTGGGCCCTTTTCTACCACTTCTCTTTCCTGGCTCATGCTACCATCCCAACTAAGCCTAGCGAAAGAGTCAGAGGTCTTGGGTTTAAATCCCACCTCTGACATTAATTGTCTGCAGGTTCTTGGGCAGGTCACTTAAATCTCTGGGCTTCATTTTCCTCACTTAAAAAATGAGGGAGTTGGATTAGATGGGGCTTCTCATATTCCATCCAACTATGAATCTTTGATCCTATGTTCCTTAGAAGTATGACATTACAAGTCACTTTTCTTGTTTTCACATGGTGGGTATGAACTAGTCATATGAAAATAAGTGTCACATTCCAGTAACACGCATGGCAGTTGAAATGCTGTACAGTTATAACTGTGTCACTGGTATTTGTCTTGCACTGAGGAAGAGTGAGAAGTGAGAATGCTACATACATCTCATTCCAACTACTCAACACTGCTCATTGTAGCACAAACACAGCCACAGACAATAAGTAAATGGATGTCTGTAGCTGTTTTTCAATAACATTTTATTTACAGACAATGAAATTTGAATTTCATATAATTTTCATAATTCACAAAATATCATCCTCCTTTGGATTGTTTTTCAAACATTTATAATGTAAAAACTATTCTTAGCCTGCAGGCCATCTAACCTAGACAGGCCCATTTGATGACAGAGACTGATTATAACCATGATCCTGACTAGGAATATGAACTAGAAAAGTACATTTCTTATGTGTTGATATGGGGGAAGTGGAGTGCAGTAGACTGGTGGGGCAAGCTTGGCAATTGTAAAGTGCTGCCTTGTTGGAGGATAAACATACCTGCCCATCTCAAAATAAGATACATCTATCTGTTTCCTCCTCCTACCCCATATCTGGGGGCCCTATAAGTAGCAACAGGAAAAATTGGAATTTTCCTAATCAAAACAAGAAACAGGTGTGGCAGATCATTTTCCCCCTCAACAGTAGAAACTTTCACCCCAAGGTGGGGGAGGAACATTTTGTAAAACCAACATAACCAGAGTTGGCCTTATGAGAAGATTAACCACTTATGTGATAGGATTTGAGGGGAGCTAAGAAACCACTTATCTAAAATTCTTTCCCTCCTTAAACAAAACAGTGCCTAAAATCTCCACCATTGGAGCCTAGTCTTTACAATGAGGTATTTCTAACCCTAAAAGGCCCCTATTAAAATCTGAACATGTTGCCCAAGCACTAGAAAAAGGAGTAAGAGAAAAGTAATATATGAGCAGACCCACCCAGTAACTTATTAATACAAATCAGTTCCTCAGTACACACTCATTTAACAGCTTAACTGAACATCCCAGAAGTGAAGGATTAGGAGAAAGGAAATCCAAGTTTCAAGTGAGGAACAAAGAGAAAAGAGAAGAATTTAAGACATGGAATACTGGTTGGGAAGCGCAGCATTAAACTACTGAGTGCAAGTAAGGAAAGGGTTGAAGAACGGAGGGCTGGGGACAAAAGTAGAGAAAGGGGCACCGAGGATAAAACTTGTCTTCTGAAGCCATTCTTACATTTTTAATATCAATTTTAATTTGCATGAATTACTGAAATAGGAAGGAATAGGGTTCAAATTCTGCCTCTGATAGTTGTAGGCCCTGAGCCAATTCACTTAACCTCTATGGGCTTTATGTTTCTCATCTATAAAAATGAGGAAGTTAGACTAGATTTTTTTTCTACCATAGCTTCTATTCTTAATTTTTATAATTTTCTTTATTTGCCTAAGGAAACTGAGACCAAGAGAGACTTGTGTAAAGTCACATAGATGCTTCAAAACATGTGGGGGGGGATGGCTAGGAGGTGCAGTGGATAGAGCTCTGGCCTTGGAGTCAGGAGGGCTGAGTTCAAATCTGGCCTCAGACATTTGACACTTACTAGCTGTGTGACCGTGGGCAAGTCACTTAACCCTGATTGCCTCACTAAAAGAAAAAGAAAATAAAAGTGTGTATGTGTGTGTGTATGTATGTGTGTGTGTGTGTGTATACACACATATATACATACATATATATACATACCTAAATATACATACACACATATGAAGACTGTGTTCCTTTTCTTTTTAAGACTTATCTGTATTTGCAAGAGGAAAATATTTTTCCCTACTGAGGAAATTTCAACTATCAATAAACAGTTTATTTTTGAAGGCATGGGCACCATGTACTTCACCTCCAGTTAAGGCCAGCCCCAAATCTAGATGAAACCTTGGTCTCTTGACCAAGAAAACCCTTCAACCAACCAAGAGTTATGCTGTTCTTAAAATGATACTACCAAAAATATTATAGAAATAGCAACTTCCAGAGAAGCCTAGCTTCTCTCAGTTAGTTCGCATTTTTAAAAACCATTGAATATTACCTACAAAAACCTCCATGTCCTCAAGAAACAGAAAGAAATTGTTGCGATGGACTATGGAAAAATGACTGAGGTGCATGTTTTCTTTAAGCAATTGGCAAGTCTCACCACACAATGCCCCTTGAGAAGATGAAAGATCTCCAACTGAAAGAAGAGTCCCTAAATCCAGAAACCAATGAAATCAATGGGATTCTCATGACCAAGATGATAAGTGACCACTGGGACAAAATTTGGAATTTCCAAGCTAAGCCTGATGATCTGCTCATTGCAACATATGCAAAAGCAGGTAGGTATTTGGAAATCAAAGTCACAGGTATGACTCCAGTTTTATCAAGTCAGGAAGAAGTGAGCTTCTAATTGATTTCATGTCTATTACAGATCTAGCCCTGAGCAAAATGGCAAATACTGCCCTACTAGCTTTGCTCACTCCCCCCCAAGAACTCTGTTTTCCTTCTAACACCCAGTTAAGTTCTTCTTAATTAAAGGAATGGGCTCACTTTGTAGAAAGAAAGAAGAGTAAGGGAGAAATAATTTTGGAGTGAGAAACAGTGGAGAATAAGACTTAGGATAATAGTTGAGGCACATGTGAGAAGAGCTCAGTAACCAGACGGTAGCATATTGGGTTCCTTGGAAGAAGGGGAGTGGAGGTTGAGATGAGGAACCAAAAGGTAGAAGAGCCCTATTTGCAATTTTTCCTAAATTAGGGCTTTAGAATTAACATGAATCCATTGTATAAGATGATTATGCTATGTTTTCCAGAATGAAATGGAATAAAAATAAAGGTGACCAGCATCAGTCTAGCTTGCATAACCCTACTCCTAGTGAGTGGTGTTTGGGAGGGGTTAGAAAAGGTTGCCCCTCTGTGGCCAGCTGGACACTATTGTGCTTGCACTGTGTTATCTGGCCTTTCACATTTGTGAAGGAGGGCACTAACACTTGGAGCATAGAAAAGACTTCATGTACAAGACAGTGCTTGAGCTGCATCTTACGAGGTAGATTTTTGTAGCATGATGGAATGTCAGAAATGAAAGAATGCCAGTTTGGCTCACACAGCACCAATGAGGGTGCACTGTCCAATGAGTCTGGAAAGAGAGGTTCAGTGGTTCAAAGTGTGCAAGCAAAAAAAAAAGAGAGAGTTGGGATTTTGTTGTTGTTTGTTTGTTTGTTTGTTTGTTGGGGTTTCTTTGTTTTTGTTTTGTATTTTGTTTGTTTGTTTGTTTTTTATCCAAGAGATAATAAGAAGCCACTGAAGCTGATTGAGTAGGGAAATCACATGGTCGGCTTAGTGCTAACACAAAATTACTTTGGCAGCAATATGGAAGATGGATTGATTGTATTAGGGAGGAATTTTAGGCAGGGAGACCAATTAGGTGGCCTTTGTAATAATCAAGGTAGGAGTTGAGGAGGTTCTGAATTAAATGGGTGGAGAAAAGAGGTTAAATATAAGTCAGAGGATGGTCCTATTTTCATTACCTTCACTAAAAGGAAAAGGTTGCTTACAATGGACAAGAATCCCCTTTTGTCCTCTTAGATGGAGATAAAGTCAGTATCACAGGTAAGACTTCAACGGGGCTCTTCCTAGCACCCAGGCCAGTTCTTTATCTAAAATGTCACAGCTTTCTCTAAGGTGCATAAAGCACTATGTTGAACATAAATTATAAATGTGTTACCATTAAGGATCCCATGAGCTGCTACCTGATATGACAGTTAGCTACAAAGGAAAACCTCCCAATAAAAATAGCAAAGTGTGAACAAGGAAGACTACAGAATAGGTTGGAAGTATCTTTTTCTTCTTACAACAAAATGTGTATCATTCCTCTTTGGCCCAATGACTGGACAATGAATTTACAAAATGGAAACAGAATTTTTTGCCTCTATGAACCAAGATATACCCTTAATACAGATCAGGACTCATTGAGACCCAGCTCCTCAGGGACAATCCACTAAGCCATCAGTCCTCTTTTTTGGTTAGGCAATGGAGTTAAGTGACTTGCCCAGGGTCACATAGCTAGTAAGTGCTATGTGTCTGAGACCGGATTTGAACTCTGGTCCTCCTGAATCCAGGGCTGGTACTCTATCCACTGTGCCATCTAGCTGCCCCCATCAGTCCTCTTAAGCAATGTCTTTACCACTCCCATAATTATTGTAGCCAGATGGAGTCTCCTCTGTCTGTGCCAGCCAAAGCCACTCATAAATTAATACAGTGATCGAAAGTTCAGCATAAAGCTATGTGTGTATAAAAGCCAACAACAAGGAAAAAATTTTACGTATAGAATACATTCAGGTACTTTTTCTTTCTTCTCTACTTCTTCTTCTGACTCCTTGAAAGTGAAAATTCTCATTTTCCATCCTTTCACCACTTCCACTCAGGTTCTTCCAGTCTGTATTTAAAGAGTAAACTAAATAAATATCTTTTAAAAGATGACAGAGGGCACTTTCACTGCTCTATTTTTTAAAAATCTAAGACAAAATAAAGAACAGATCAAGTCAGGACCTTCTTCTTGGGAAACTTTGGTTGGTCTAACAAACCTTATGTGCAAGCTAATTTGCATTGCAAACTCACTATCTGCAACGTGTTTGCATGCACTTGGGAGAATTCAAGAATCTAACACAAGGCCCTCCACAGTCTAGCTCCCACCCAACCCCAAACACCATTTAATTTTTTTCCACTACTCCATCCTTTTCCAATTAAGTTAGATTACCAGCCATTTCCCCAAAAAGTCATCTTGTGCCTTTATTCCTACTGTTTTCTCCTTCTCTTGGAATATATCCCTCCCATCTCCCTCCTAAAGTTCATCATTCAAGACCAATACCAAAAGCTGGTCATCCTCTTGAAGCCTGCCATGATAACAGCCACATGTGATCCGTGTGATTTTGTACAAGTCCTTTGATTACTTTGAGTGTCAGTCACTATCCATAAAATGAAGAGGTTGGACTAGAGGGCCTCTGAATTCTCTTATGTATCTAGATCCATGATCCTATGATCTTTCTTTCCCTAAAGAATATTGCCATTCCTTACAAGCCATTCCCCAATTGATAAATGGTCAAAGGATATGAACAGACAGTTCTCAGATGAAGAAATTAAAGCCATCTATAGTCATATGAAAAAATGCTCTAAATCACTATTGATTAGAGAAATGCAAATCAAAACAACTTTGAGGTACCACGTCATACCTATTAGATTGGCCAACATGACAAAACAGGAAAATGATAAATGTTGGAGAAGATGTGGGAAAATTGGAACACTAATACATTGTTGGTGGACTTGTGAAATGATCCAACCATTTTGGAGAGCAATTTGGAACTATGCCCAAAGGGCTATAAAAATGTGCATACCCTTTGCCCCAGCAATAGCATTTCTAGGGCTATATCCCAAAGAGATCATACAAATTGGAAAAGGACCCACATGTACAAAAATATTCATAGCAGCTCTTTTTGTGGTGGCAAAGAATTGGAAATTGAGAGGATGCCCATCAACTGGGGAATGGCTGAGCAAGTTGTGGTATATGAATGTAATGGAATGCTATTGTGCTACAAGAAATGATGAACAAGCTGACTTGAGAAAAACCTGGAAAGACTTGTACAGTCTGATGCTGAGTGAAATGAGCAGAAACAATAGAACATTGTAGACAATAACAGCCACGTTGTGTGATGACTAATATTGATAAACTTAACTCTTCCCAGCAATACAAGGATCTAAGACATCTCCAGAGGCCTCATGATGGAAAATGCTATCCACATCCAAAGAAAGAACTATGGAAGTTGAATTGCTATTTTTTTTCTCTTCTGTTGAGTTTTGTTTCCTCTTTCTGATGGCTCCTCCTATTGGTTTTAACTTTTACTTACAACCTCACTAATGTGAAAATATTTTTAATAGGAATGTAAATGTATTGTGCGTTGCCTTGGGGAGGGTGGCAGAGACAAAGGGGGAGAAAATTTTTAAACTCAAAAGCATATGGAAGTGATTATTGATAAATCAAAATAAATTGATAAAATTTTTTTTAAAAAGAAAAAAAAGAAATCCTGCTGGTAAAAAAAAAATATATATATATATAGCCATTTTTTACTTGTGCTACTGCAAGTATAGACAGGATTTTAAAGTCATTCAGTCCAACCATTTCATTTTATAGATGCCTTGTCTCTTATTTGTTTGTTTGTTTGTTTGTTTATTATTTTTCTTTTAAAATAAATAATTAATGTGATTTTATCTTTGTAGGGAAGCTCCAGTGTAGAAAGTCTCTTCATCAATAGTGATCAACAATATATCTGAGACTTGACGGGGGTATCCTTCCAACAGACTGTTATCTTCTTACTAAAACATTGCATGCCCCCCAGAGCCTAACACAGTGCTCTAGACATAATGGGTTCTTATTAAATGCTTATTGAATGAATTGGCTGAATCTTTTATTTCATAATATGTGAATATTATTATTCATATTACTCATAATATTATTTTATAATACATTTCTCATATATTGCCTTGCAGATAACAAGTGCTTTCATTTGTTGAATGAATAAATGGATTATGCAGGGTTAAAATATGCTCTAAATAGGTAGACTAAATAATAGTCCAAATTCTTTCAGGTACAACCTGGACGCTAGAGATTGTGGATATGATCCAAAATGATGGGGATATAAAGAAGTGCCAACGAGCTAACACCTTTGATAGGCATCCTTTTCTTGAGTGGACTCTGCCTCCACCTCTCAATTCTGGTAGTTTGCTCAACTAAAATTGGATTAGCCTCAGAATTAGGGTCCTGAACCCATTAGCCTTTTCTGGAAAAAGAGCTCTTTCCAAAACCACAATTCAGCCTCCTGTTTTAAAGATATGTGCCTATGGATCATTATAAGCCTCTTCTTTACCGCAGAAATTTTTACTTAAAAAGGCTATCAATGGGTTCTTTTCAATTCTACTTAGATATGCTTTTCCATTATGTTGGTGAATTTATCCCATTTATGTTCAGAGGTATGATTGTTAATTGTTGATATCCTTCCATCCAGTTCTCCTACATTTTTCCTTTCTTTTATCTCATCCCCTTCTTTACAAAAAGGAGATAGTAAGTGGATGAGAAGAGGGTGTATACCTGACATTTGTGATCTATAAATGAAACAGGGTGTGTCTATTCTGTTGTAGTTCCTTTCTATCTTATCTATTTTATATTCTATCTTATCCTTTCTATTCTATCTACCTATCACAGATTTTTTTTCTGTTTTTATGGTTTTTTGCTAGGCAGTGGGGTTAAGTGACTTTCCCAGGGTCACACAGCCAAGGAGCATTATATGTTTGAGACTGAATTTGAACTCAGGTCCTCCTGACTCCAGGGCTGGTGCTCTATCCCCTGTGCCACCTAGCTGCCCCACAGATTTTTACTCTAAGAAAATAATTTGAAGTTAATGCACTAGTTGTGGTAGTCCTGAAACGCTCTCTTTAAAATGAGAGTGCATTTTCTATCATCATGTCACTAATAATACAAAAACCAAGTGGGATTTAGACATAATAATAATGATTCAGAAAACAGTGAGCTCATCCTACTGTACCCCACACTGTTTAGGCTCTACAACTTACATTTAAATGTATCACACAGAGAGCAACACATGTGTATGTTTGTGTGTATGCATATATGTATTATGTACATGCATGTTTGCATATATACACACATATGCATATGTATGAATGTATATACATGGCAGTATAGATTTAGAAAATTAAAAGCATCTTAGGAATAAAGGGTTAAAATCCTACCATCCAGCATGCTGTCTATAGGCCATATGTAGCCAACCTGAGATTTTTAGTTTAAAAAAAAAAGTTTTCCCTTATTGGGAAGCAAACATATTTGAACTAGCTTAAAGATCCTAATCAGCTGCCCACTACTACCATTGATTGTCTTTGACATCATGCTAGCAGATTTGAATCTATCAGCAATTATAATAGAAGCTAAATTTAATTATATCATTAAATTAATAAAGCCTTGAGTCACATGACTTTCTGGTCAGTTTCAAAACCACTGAATAATTAGGATCCCTATGGGCTAAAGCAATGCACTCGGGTCATAGGTCAGAGCTACTAAAATCCAACAATATACCCTCCTTCCTCTAGTACAGGCCTCTTATCTTCTGTTGCCCTCTTTCTATTCCCCATTCTAGGGTTGGATTAGCACAATGGATAGTCAAGCATTTCTCAAATGACATTAAAGACACAGATCACATGTGTTTCCCTGGGCCCCAAAAACTAGCTTATATCTGATGACATTGTGCTTACATCAAGGAACAAAGAACTATCTGCTGATTTATATCAACTGTACCACTAGTACTGTTGTTGCCATTGGCGGTAAATCATCTTCAGATCACAGGAGTTAATATCTGTAAGGTGCTTTGGAAATCTTCATGTACTACATACATGCCAGCTATTACTATTATTGATATTCAGAAAGAAGGACAAGACAGTCCAAAATGATCACTTTAGACACAGTAAAAACTTCTTTGGAATGTCTGAGAAACAGTTACACAAAAACTACACAGCAGAGGAAATCTGAATGACACCACACTATTTTGCAGGTCTGGATCTAGCTATTAAAATGCCTTCTCCAAGAACACTGAAAACACATCTCCCTGTCCAGATGTTACCACCATTCTTCTGGGAACAAAATTCAAAGGTAAGATCAACCAGTAATTCAAATCTGCCTTGCTCAGTATTAACTTGTATTCTAGAGAATAGCAAGCAACTCTTTCTTAAAAGGATGTATCTAGTGGCTATGCATGGTAGCAGCTGTACCTTCACAACACCAAAGGCCTGCATCCAATTTTCATCATTCTGCATACTGAGAGTGGAGATCTCCAGTCAAAAGTCTTCTCTCATGGACTGTCTTTGGGTCAGTTCCACTTTGCTTTATTTTTAACATTCTCTCTAACTTTATATATAGAAAACAATTCAAAGGAAGAGTATGGAGGAAGAAGGAATACTGGGTGACAAATGCTGCAAAATTTAGAAACATTTGCTCATGTATGGAGAGGTAACATTGTGTAGTCATGAGGGAGTCAGCCTTAAAGTCAGGAAGACCAGATTTCAAGTCCTGCCTCTGATACTACAAACTATGGGACCCTGGACAAGTAACTTAACCTTTCAGTACACCAGGCAACTCTCTAAGACTCTTAGTTGAAAAGAAGGTACTAACCCACAGAAGTAGAGAGAATCCCTTCACCTGAGAATTCTAAACCAATGAAATCACTGTTCATTTCTTCTTTCGACTTGGGATCAGTCCTCGGTGAACAAATGTAACAGCTGCTTCAAAATTAAGATATGAAGAGGTTTTATGTTTTATTTAATGTAATTTTAATTTTTTTCAAATACCAAGCACGTGTTTTCTCTCTTTCGTACCTTCATCCTGAGTATGAAAAAAATAAAATAAAACCCTTATAACAAGCATATATAGTCAAGCAAAGCAAATTTTCTTATTAGCTATATTCAGAAATGTGTGTCTCATTTTGCAGTATTAGGCCATTACCTCTCTGTCAGAACACAGGTAGCATTCATCATTATTGGTCCTCTGGAAACACGGTTATTCTCTGAATGCATCCATTTCATCATTTCTTATAGAATATTATCGTCCCATTGTATTCATACATGTTGCTTTGTTCAGCCATTCCCCAACTGATAAACACACCCTCAGTTTCCAGTTCTTGCCCACTAAAAAAGAACTGTTATCTGTATTTTTGTACATATGAGTCCTCATTCTCTTTATCTCTTTGGGGTACAGGCCTAGTATTGGCATTCCAGAGTGAAAAGGTATGCATTGTTACTAACTTTGGGAGAATAGTTTCAATTATTTTTCCAGAACAACTGTAGTAATTTAGGGCTCCTTAAACATGCTTCTTTTTCTTTTTTTTTCTTTTTTTTAAAATATAAATTCATTTATTTTCAGTTTTCAATATTTACTTCCACAAGATTTTGAGTTCCAAATTTTCACCCTGTCTCACCCTCCCCACACCCCAAGATGGCATGCATTCTGAATATCCCTTCCCCTAGTCTGTCCTCTCTTCTATCTCTTCCCCCCTTCTCTTATCCCCTTCCCCTTCTATTTTCCTGTACCCCATTTCCTGTATTTCTTATTTCCCAGTAGCATGTGCAAACATTTTTTTAAACCTATGTTTTTAAAACTTTAGGTTTCAATTCTTCTCCCTTCCTCCCTCCCCACCACCCTCATTGAAAAGGCAAGCAACTCAATATAGGTTATACATGTGCAGTTATGCAAAACACTTCCATAGTAGACATGTTGTGAAAAACTAACTCTATTTCCCTTAATCCTATCCTGCCCTCCCATTTATTCTATTCTTTCTTTTGACCCTGTCCCTCCTCAGAAGTATTTGCTTCTGATTACCCCCTTTCCCAATCTGCCCTCCTCTCTATCATCCCCCTGCTCTCTTGTCCCCTTCTCCCCCTATTTTCCTTAGGGTAAGACAGATTTCCTTACCCAATTGAATGTGTATGTTATTCCCTCCTTAAGCCAAATCCTATGAGAATAAGATTCACTCATTCCCTCTCACCTTCCCCCATTTCCCCTCCACTGTAAGAGCATTTTCTTTTCTGTTTTTTTTTGTGAGATAATTTACCCCATTCTACCTCTCCCTTTCTTCTTCTCCTAGTATAATCCTCTCTCATCCCTTAATTTTATTCTCCAGATATGACCCCTTAATCTTCAACTCACCCTGTGCCCTCTATCTATCTATCTATCTATCTATCTATCTATCTATCTACTATACATACATATAATTTTTTTCCTCCAACTACCCTAATACTGACAAAGGTCTCATGAGTTATAAATATCATCTTTCCATGCAGGAATGTAAACAGTTCAATCTTAATAAGTCTCTTATGATTTCTCTTTCCTGTTTACCTCTTCATGTTCCACTTGAGTCTTGTATTTGAAAGTCAAATTTTCTATTCAGCTCTGGTCTTTTCATCAAGAATGCTTGAAAGTCCTCTATTTCACTGAATGACCATTTTTTCCCCTGAAGGATTATACTCAGTTTTGCTGGGTAGGTGATTCTTGGTTGTAATCCTATCTCCTTTGCCCTCCAGAATATTATATTCCATGCCCTGGGTCCTTTAATGTAGAAGCTGCTAAATCTTGTGTTATCCTGATTGTGTTTCCACAGTACTTGAATTGTTTCTTTCTGGCAGCTTGTAATATTTTCTCCTTGACCTGGGAACTCTGGAATTTGGCTACAATATTCCTAGGAGTTTTCCTTTGGGGATCTCTTTCAGGAGGAGATCTGTGGATTCTTTCAATTTCTATTTTGCCCTCTGGTTCTACTATAGGGCAGTTTTCCTTGATAATTTCTTGAAAGATGATGTCTAGGCTCTTTTTTTTCATCATGGCTTTCAGATAGTCCAATAATTTTTAAATTCTCTCTCCTGGATCTATTTTCCAGGTCAGTTGTTTTTCCAATGAGATATTTCACATTGTTTCTAATTTTTCATTCTTTTGGATTTGTTTTACAGTGTCTTGATTTCTCATAAAGTCACTAGCTTCCAATTGCTCTATTCTAATTTTTAAGGAAGTATTTTCTTCAGTAATCTTTTGGACTTCCTTTTCCATTTGGCCAATTTTTCTTTTTAGGGCATTTTCTCCTCATTGGATTTTTGGACCTCTTTTGCCATTTGGGTTAGGCTATTTTTTAAGGTGTTATTTTCTTCAGTATTTTTTTGGGTCTCCTTTAGCAAGCTGTTGACTTGTTTTTCATGATTTTCTTGCATCACTCTCATTTCTCTTCCCAGTTTTTTCCTCTACTTCTCTTACTTGCTTCTCAAAATCCCTTTTGAGCTCTTCCAAGGCCTGGGACTGATTCATATTTTTCTTGGAGGCTTTGGATGTAGGAGCTTTGACTTTGTTGTCTTCTTCTGGTTGTATATTTTGATCTTCTTTGTCACCAAAGTAAGATAATATAGTCTGACTCTTTTTGTGCTGCTTGCTCATGATCCCAGCCAATTACTTGAGTTTTAAACTCTTTGTTAAGGTAAGAGTCTGCTTCCAATGTGGAGAATGTACTGTCCCAAGCTTCAGGGGTTTGTATAGCTGTTTTCAGAGATACTTGTAGGGACCTGTAAATTTTCAGTTCTTGCAAGGTGGTATAAAGGGGCTAGGTGTTTACTCCTTTCCTGGCCTGTGCTGTGTTCTATTAGTGACCACAAGCACTCCTTTCTGTCCTGGAACTGTGAAGAAGGTTCCCTATCCATAGCCACTACAAGCTCCACCATGCCAGGGCTCCTCCTCACCCCAGGACTCCTGTCCAGAACTGTGACCCACATCCAAGCACAGGCAAAGCAAGAGATTCCTGCCTCAGCACCAACAGAGAGATCCCTGCAATCCCCCTCTGATCAGCCACTCAATTCCCCCTCAGTCTGTGAGCTGGAAGCTCAGGAAGCAGCTGCACACCCCAGGGCCACATTCTCAGGGAACTGGATCTGAGACCCCACCTTTTCTCTCAGCACCGCAGAAACAGACTTTTCCCACTGACCTTCTAAGTTGTCTTTGGCATTCCTGGATTGAGGAGTCTGGAAACCACCACAGCTGCCCATGATTCAGTCCTCTGAGGCCTGCTCCAGGTTGTCTTGGGCTGGAAATTTGTTTCTTTCCATCTTTTTGTGGGTTGTGCTGCCTTAGAATTTGTTTAGAGCCATTTTTATAGGTATTTGAAGGGATTTGGGGGAGAGCTTAAGCAAGTTGCTGCTTTCACTCCACCATCTTGGCTCCGCCCCTAAACATGCTTCTTTTTCCACAGCCCTTCCAACAATTGTTATCTTTTGTTACCCTCACCAATCTGATGGGTGTGAGAAGGAACCTCAAAGCTGCTTCAGTTACTCTTTCCCTCAATACTAATGATTTGAAACATTTTTTGTATATGGCTATCAATAGCCTGGATTTATTCCTTTGAGAACTGCTTGTTCATATCCTCTGACCATTTATCAATTGTTACCTCTTGAAGAGGAAGTTGAAGAAGAATATGGGACATGGAATCAGAAGAGACCTGGGTACAAATACCGACACTAGTTAGCTGAATGACCAAGAGAAAGGCACTAAATTTCTCTTAGTCTCAGATTCCTCATCAGTAAATTTGGGATAACAATATCTATAATACTCCTACTATTTAACTATGAAAGCTTAATGAGATAATGTGTGTAAAGCAATATATATCTATATCTATATATATATATATATATCAGCTATTATCATTAGTTTGCTTCCTAGAAGCATGATATAAGCATCTAGAAATATACATGTGTTTGTAGTTATCAGGATTAAAACTTTCTCATCATATATAGTAGCTTTAAGAGATCATCTAGTCTAATCCCAGGAACCTTCTCAAGCTGAGAGAAAAGTGAAGTGACTTGCCAAGGTCACAAAGGTAGTAAGTAGCCACTCTGAGATGGACCTGAATGTAATTGTGAATAATCTACATTGCATGAAAGAAGACAGAGTCACACAGTAAAATATATAATCATGAGGGAGCAATGGGAATATTTGGACCAAAGAAGATAAAGCATAAAGAAGCAGGAGAAAGATCTCAAAATTGGGATGTAAGTTAAAATTAAAAACCTAGTTTCACAATTCCAAATCCAGTCCTCTTTCCAATGATCTACCCTGCTTCCAAAGATCAGAGAATGGTGGAGTAGTGAGACACAAAATAATGAAATCCCTTAGGAAAAGTAAAGATGATTTTCATTAAAGTGTGGGGAGTTCCTTCATCTCTTCTTTGCTATTTCACTGAGCCAAAAGCAGGTGATCAAAGTAGAGTCAAAGGCAACTAGGGAAGAAGCGTATGAATACAGCAACTTCTTCCTCTCTCCTTCAGCTCAGCCCTGCCCCCTTATAAGCACCAATCCACTACACAGATGACTTGGGAATTATGAAACAGATATCTCAAGTGGACCCATCATTCAACTAAGACTGTTCAGAGTCTTTTTAATCTCATAATTGCAGGGAAAGTTGTAGTGAAAACTTGCCTACAGTGCTGGAATTCATGATGGAGAAATTGTCAAATCTCTAAAAACTTTTTTCCGCCTTTGCCTAATACCAGGTAAAGATTCTCATATGGATAAAAAGGAAAAGTATCCCTTCTATTATAGTCCACAATCTGCAGCTGACATTCTGCCATCTCTCGTGTGCCCCAATTCTGTAAACAATCTTGGGTGGGGAATGTGGGATAAAGAAAGTGGAGTTCAAGGAAGAAGTATAGGCTAGCTACCCCATTATTCCTACTCCAAAAAAAAATCTAGAAAACACAACAGACCAAATTCTGATCGGAAAATCCAGGAAAAAGATCACACTGAGCTATTTTTTCAGCCCACATCACCTTAGAAAGATAAACAGAAATGTTTGGGAACACTGAAAGATTGTAGGTCCCCAGACTGAACTGTCTCTGAGGTCCTGAAATAACATGGCACTCAATACCATATGAAAGGTGTAGACAGACTCATGAGGCCCAAAGCTCAGTGCAAACATTTCTTCCCCCACCCCCAGAAGTCCACAGAACCCAGCTATAATAAAAAGTCCAAAGTCAAGAAGTTGGCTGGTAGAATAATCAAATTAATAAAGAATCACAGCATAAAGATAATTATGTCTACAGAGAATCTGGAGGAAAAAAAGCCCAGAAAAAGAGAATAAATTGAGGTAGTCAAGCAAAGCCTAAAAAAAAAAAATGCAGCATGGACAGAAGTTCAGCCAGAATTCCAGCCAGAATTCCTGGAAGATATAAAGCGAGAGATGTTTATTTAAGAGCTAAAAATGTTTTTTAAAACCAAATGATTGGGGCAGCTAGGTGGCACAGTAGATAGAGCACCAGCCCTTACACATAATACTCACTAGCTGTGTGACACTGGGCAAGTCACTTAACCCTAAATGCCTCACATAAAAAAAAAAAAAGCCAAATGATAGTGGAAGAGGAAAAATGAGAAAATAAATTAAAAATTATGGAACATATGGAAAGAGAATTGACAAGTTGGAACAAAAGATAGGTACAAACTTTACCAAAATTTTACTAAAGAAAATAACTTCCTAAACATTAGAATAAGCCAAAGAGAAGCTAATGAATTCATGAGGCTTGAAGATGTATCAAAGCAAAATCAAAAGTCAGAAAAAATAGAAGAAAATGCCAGAATCAGTTGAATTTAGAGGCAAATTCTACCAAATATTTGAAGAACAATTAATTTTAATACCATGTAAATTATTTGAGAAAATATGGGAAAAAAAATTTCCAGATTATTCCTGTGACAAAAATGTGTCTTGACACCTAAATTAAGAATAGTCAAAACAGAAAAAAAAATAGTATAGACCAATTTCTTTAATGAATATTTATGCAAAAAGTTTAAACATATTAACAAGGATACTATAGCAACATATCAACAACATATGTATATATAATTCATAGGTATCCAATAAACAACATGAATTGCAAAGATTACACATTATAACTAGATTACACACATTTATACCAGGAATGTAGGGCTAGTTTAGTATTAGGAAAACTATAAACATAATTGACCAAGGTAATAACTAGAATAACAAAATCATATTATGTCAATACATACAGAAAAAGGTTTTGATAAGATAGAATACCGATTCCCTACAAAGCATGGAAACAAGCTGAAAATATCCTTAATTTGATAAGTAGTGTCTATCTAAAACCAAGAGCTAGAATTGCCTGTAATGGGTATAACCTTGAAGCCTTTCCAATAAGGCCAGTGGTAAAATAGAGATGTGCATTATCACCATTACTATTCAACATAGAGCTAGCAATGCTAGCTATCACAAATAAGATGAGAGACAGAGAGAGAGAGAGAGAGAGAGAGAGAGAGAGAGAGAGAGAGACTGAAGTAATAAGTACAGCCAAGGAGAAAATAAAATCATAACATTTGCAAATAATATGACAGTTTGCTCAGAGAATCTTAGAGACAGTGAAAAAACTAATTGAAACAATTAACAACCTCATCAAAGTTGTAGGGTATAAAATAAACCCACATGAATCATTAGTTTCTGTACATTACCAACAAAACTCAATGGGAGGAAATAGAAGGAGAAATTCCACCTGGAATAAATACAGAGAGTATAAAATACTTGAGAGTCTAACTGTCAAGATAGCCAGAAAGTACCTAAACACAATTACAACCATAAAACTAAATTACAAATAAAAAGATAATATCTAAATAATATAATGAATAAATAATATATTAATTAATTTTCTCATTCATTGCCGTGACAATAAAAACAGTAAGTGAATACTTTATAAAACTAGAAAAAATAATGAAAAAAATTTCATCTGAAGGGAGGACAGAGGTCAAGAATATCAAGAAAGTTAATGAAAAAGTGGGAAAGAAAAGGGCATGGCAGAACCAGAACTCAAACTATAATACAAATCTGTAATCATTAAAATAATTTGGCACTGAATAAGAAATAGCAAGCCTGATCAGTGGAAGAGATTACACATAAACACACAAACATCATACAGGCACATATGTGTGTGTGTGCACAAATGAAGGCAGAATATGAGTGTTTGATAGACATAAAGATCCCAGAAACTGGGGCAAAAACTCACTATTCAACAAATTTTATTAGGAAAACTGCATAGCAGTCTATCAGAAACTAGGTTTAAACCAACATCTCAAACCATATGCCAGGATAAAAGTTCTAAATGGGTATGTGATTTAGAAAAGAATATTGGTATTATGTAGAAATTAGAAGAGCATAGATGCCTGTCAGATGTATGTTTAGTGGAAGAATTTATGACCACACAAACAATAGGGAGGTTCACAGGAGGTAAAATGGACACTTTTAATTACGTATTAAATTTTTTTTGTGCAAACAAAACGAATGCAGCCAAAATTAGAAGAGGAGCAGGAAACTGGGAGGGAAATCTTTGTAGAAAGCTTCTCTGATAAAAGTCTTTTTTATATGCTAAATAGAAGGAATTGAACTAAATTTATAAGATCAAGAACCATTTGCCAATTAATAGTCAAAGGATATGTAGGCAGTTTTCAGAGGAAGAATTAAAAGCTATCAGTAACCTTACCCAAAAATGTTCTGAATCACTAATAATTAGAGAAGCAAAAATAAAATCTCAAATTGCAAAGTTAACCAAAAAAGGGAAAATGACAAATTCTGGGAATATGGGGAAATGGGTATATGAATGTGATGGAATACTATTGTGTTGCAAGAAATTATGAAGGTGGTGGCGTCAAAGAAACCTAGGAAGATTTGCACAAATTCATGTACAGTGAAGGGAGCAGATTCAATAAAACAATTTATGTAAAGCAAGATAACTTTTAAAGACTTAATGCTGATCAACAAAATAATCAAGCATAATTCTGGAAGTCTCATAATTTAACATGCTACCTGCTTCCAGATAAAGAAGCGAGGGGCTCAGAGTTAATGCTGAGGCATCATTTTGGACTTGACAAATGTAAGAATATGTTTTGCTTAGCTGTACATATTTGTAATGAGTTGTTTTCCTTGCATTTTCAATGGAGAGGGCAGAGAATTCAGAGCTGAAATAAAATTGAATTAAAAAACAAACCATTATCAAAATAATTGCTAATAATAAACATCAATATTCCTCTCATATTTTCTTTTTCACTGCCTTTCATTGGCTTCACCTCCATCTGTGTCCACTGCAGATAATCTACATCGCAAGAAATGCAAAAGATTGCCTGGTATCTTATTACCATTTCTCAAGAATGCATAAAATGCTACCTGACCCAGGTACCTTGGAAGAATACATTGAGAAATTCATGAATGGGAGAGGTGAGTGGAACTAGATCTGTGGTCACCTGATTCATCAATCACCTGACATTGGCACTAACCAAAGGAGGATGTTTTCTAATTGCATTTGTATGCTGTTTTCAGCAATATAATCAGACTTTCTTGAAAATCTGATTCTATGAATTATTCAAAGTAGAATCAAAATTACTTATAATTTCTTTTCCAAAACAATTTGCTGGTCAAGAACAATTATTGAGTACCTACTCTATGTAGAACATTGTCTAGGATTTATGAAGCTAGCATTTTCATAGTTATAGTAATCTTAGAACTTCTGCTAGAATTAGTAACAACCATATGGCCTTGGCAAATCTTCTAATCTCTCTGAACCTCAGTTTCTTCATCTATAAAACTAGGATCATGCCTTTTATATGTATCTCTCAGTTGTTGGAAGGATCGAATGAATAAGAAGATATTAGCCTGGTATAATGTAAGGAGTTTATGCTCAACCTCTATGAATATGTATTCCACTGGATATACAATCTCACTGATTTGAAAGGTTCTTCCTATAGTACAGATTGCAACTCATCCATCTTTCTATCATATCACTCTGCCTGACCCTATATTACTCTGAGTATAACAATATGATCAAGGGCACAAAGGTAAGAATGAGCATGAAGAACTGTCAAGAGTGATCTGACAAGTAGAAAGTTCCCTATATAGGCAATTACTGATGAATGAGCATTGTTCCCAACATTCCCACTATGATGCAGAGAATGGAATTTTTTGGATAAAAGAATTTTCATTGGTTGTGACCTTCACTTCAGCCTTCTCTGGGTATGTACACAAAAGTTCTCAACCAATTGTTGACAAAAAAGACCATGCATAAAAGACTGAAGATGCTGGAGGTCAAGTGAAATGTCAGGATTCTTTTAATAACTATATACTGCTGGTGGGCAGCTACATGGTACCATGGCTAAGGCGTCAGGCCTGGAGTCAGGAAAATGAGTCTTCATTTTGACTTCAAATCTGGCCTCCAAAACTTACTAGCTGTGTGACCCTGTTTGCCTCAGTTTCCTCATCTGTAAAATGAGGTGGAGAAGGAAATGGCCTACCTCTCCAGTATCTTTGCTAAGAAAACCCCAAAGGGGGTCACAAAGAGTCAGACACAACTGAAATAACTCAACAACAAACTGTATGAATATACACACACATTCACTTACATATGTATTGCTCTTTCTGGTACAAAGAACAATCTGTGATCCTTGTGATACTGTTTCCTAGTTGAATTTACTAAAAATTCTCATTAGCCTTACAGGTGATGTTTTCCTTTTACAAGGTCAACAACTTTGTCAGGCTGTATAATATGAGTCGTCATTCTACAATTAGCATAACTGATGCTAATTGTTCTGTTTCCTTCCATTCACCTCCAGTGCTCTGGGGTTCCTGGTATGATCATGTGAAAGGATGGTGGGATGCAAAAGAAAAACACCCCATTCTTTATCTGTTCTATGAAGACATGAAAGAGGTAAGTAATGGCTTAAATGTTCCTAGTCCCAACAAGTTTTGTTTCAGAATTGCAGAATCACAGCAAAAAGGGTCCTCAGAACCAGAGAGTCCAAGGATGCAATTACAATGTCTGACAGGTGTTCATCAACCTTTTCTTAAAAACCTCCAATGAGGGAGAACTCACCACTTCCTAAGGCAGTTACATTTCAATAGCTCCAGTTGTTTGGAAGACTTTGCTACATGAAGGCTTATCTGCCTCCTTTCAATTTATACCATAGGTCTTAGTTCTGCCCTCTAGAGCCGAGCAGAATAAATGTAATCCTTCTTTCAGTGATAGCCCTTCCAGCACTTACACATAGCTATTATTTCCCTTCCTAAAGGAAAATTAATTGTTTCCAAGTTTCTATAATTTTTTTATGACATTGTCTTCCTGAAGAGGAAGCTTCCAACAATAATTTCCTATTAGGACTCTGAATGATATTAAAATTTCTCACAAAATGCCTGTGAGTTGAAATTTTTCTTTCCATAATTTTTGCCTCATTCCCTTCCTTATGAATTCCTTTTCCTCCTTCATTGTGAGTTAACCAAACGTTTTCCATTTTTAAATTTTCCTTGGTCTAATACTCAGTTACCAGCTTATCCCTAATTTCCTATAGTTACCTTGTCCTACAGTCGATGTCACTCACTTCTTTTCAGATTGTGAATGAATGAATGACAAATAAGTAAGCACTTACTATGTGCTAAGTACTGAGAATACAAACAAACAAAAATCAAGATAGCCTTGCTCTCAAGTAGCTCATTTCTAATTGGGGTGTAAGGGTAGGGAAGACAACATGTGAAAGACGTTTCACCTGCAAGCCACTGGAAAGGGACAGAAATCTTAAGGGTGCAGTGGTAGGGAAGAAGTTGGTAAGGTAGAGATTGTGCCCATGAAGCTCTTTGAAGTCAGGGACTGCTTTTTGGGGGAGGGGTTTGGTTTTTTTTTTTACTTTGATTCCCCAGAACCTAGCACAATAAACGCTTGATGGATTTAATTGAATTGAATCATGTAATACAGGCTTCTTTGTCTACACATACTTGAATGGGTTTGATTCCTGCCATAAATCTCATCATTGGTGATGATGATACCAAGTAATATACCTAAACAGAGTAGTCACAGCGACACTATATCATTCACTCATTAACATGCACTTATTAAGAGCTTATTATGTGCCTGGAATTATGTGGGGGCTCTAGTGATTCAAAGTCAGTACAAAAAACAATGCTTCTTCTTAAGGAGCTTATGTTTCACTGAGGTTAAATAAGAAAAACAAGACAAACACAGATAATTAAGTACAAAATATATACAAATTAAGTACATAGAAATGGGGTAGAAGGCAGGAGAGTCACAAGAGATAGGCAGCAAATATTTTTGTTGTTGTTCAGTCATTTTCAGTCATGTCCAACTCTTTGTGATCCCACTTAGGGTTTTCTTGGCAAAGATATTGGAATGGTTTGCCACTTCCTTCTCCAGTGGCAAACAGAGGTTAAGTGACTTGCCCAAGGTCACATAGCTAGGAAATTTCTGAAGCTGGTTTTGAACTCGTCTTCCTAACTCCAAACCAAGGATTCTATCCATTGAGCCAACCTAGCTGCTTTTAAAAGGCTAAGCCTTCATTAATATTATTTTATATGACTGTAACAGCTGTTAGATTTAGAAGGATATTTTACAGTCTAATCCTTTACCCTGGCATTCAAGAGCTACCACAATCTGACCCCCATCTACAATTTCTACATTGCTTCTCATTTTTCCAATATACCAGTCTATTCCTCAAGCTAAATTAATCTACTTAATATCACTGAAAAACCCATATGTATTCCTGCTTCTGTGGTTTACTTACTTCCTCTCCCTTGCTACTCTATGACAGTTTCCTCCACCTTCATAGCCCAGCTCATCTCATATCTTATATTCAATCTTCTAGAACCACCCTAGCCCTCTGTTTAGCTTCCTCTGAACCCCTCAAGCATCACTGTCTGCTCATGTAGCCTGTGTCATCATGTTCTTTCTTTATACAAATACTCTATTTCCCCAATCTGATTTCAAGTTATTTGAGGCCAAGTAAACACCTTATACATCTTTGTACACACATCTACCATGGCATCCTGGACAGAGGCTCAGTAAATGTTTATTCATCAATTGAGTTGTGCTAATGTTAACAATTTCTAAAGAGAGATCATATACATGTATATTCATGCACATACACTTACAATACAATACACATACAAACATGTACACTGCAAAATTTTTCTTTCTATGCTGACTTTTATTTAGTGGACATGTTTGGGGATTATATAATACCTCACTTCCACGAACTTGCAGGCACTTATGGATTGACAAGTCTAGGTGGGATGGACCTGTACCTGTTCCTTAATTGTGGACTCAGCTTAGAGAGAAAGGAAAAAATATGAGAGAGGATTAAATATCACAAGACCCTTAGTTTTAGAACCTTCTACTCTCTTCTAATAAATGACTACTATGAATAAACCATAAGTTGGACCTCATTGCTTATAGTTTAATCAGAGTGACACCAGGAGGTTTTCCCAAACTGTGCATCTCCATTTCTGTGGATTGGTGGTTAGTATGCTAGAATTACTCATATTCTCATATATAAATCCTCTATTATATCCCATAGAAATCCAGATCCACTTCTTTGTACCTTACTGTGGATTCTGGTTCTGGACTTAAACAATCTTGGTTCATCCTACGTATATATTCCATTGACAAATCATGTCATTTCTCAGATATGACATTCCTTTTATGCAATCACACTGTCACCACCCTGGTTTATACTATCATTACCTGGAATATTGCAATAGTCTTCTAATTGGTCTCCCTTTCTCAAATCTCTTCCCACTTCCCATTAGACTGTAAGTTGCTTGAAGGCAGGAACTTTCTTTTGCCTTTCTTTTTATCCACAGTGCCTGATATATAATAGGTACTTAATAAATGTTTGTTGACCTATTGACTTCAATCTATCCTCCACTTAGCTACCCAAGTGATATTCCAACCCATGTCATCCTCCTACTCTTTAAATTCCAGAATTTAAATTCTAGAATTGAATATCAAGTCCTCTAATTGCCATTTTTAAAACCCTTCATATTCTGGCCCCTTCCTGTCTTTCTAGCCTTTTTAAGAACACTCTTTGATCTAGCTACACTGGATTATTTGACATTCCGCACACAGAATACTGCATCTCTCAAATCCATGCCTTTGCAATGGCTTAACCGTGCCTGGAATGCTCTCCCTCTTCACTTCTACATTCTGGCCTTTCTGGCCTCATTCAAGACTTAGTTTAAATCTGACCTCCCACAATAGATCTTTTCTACCCCTCCAGCTGCTAGTGTCTGCCAGGTTCTGAGATTACTTTCCATCTAGTCTGTATATATCTATATTTATTTGCATACTTTCTCCTCCACTAGAATGTACATTCTTTGAGGGCAGGAACCATGTGTTTGCCTTTCTTGTATCCCCAGCAAGTAAACAAGCATTTATTAAGCATTTACTTTGTGCTAGCCACTGTGCTAAGCACCAGAGATATTGGCGGTTAGTTGTTGTTCTTCTTTCTCAAAGAGGACCAAAATGACATCGTTATGCAGGAGACAAGTTTCAATGTGTCCAACTGACACAGTTGAACAGACCAATATGAGCTCAGAATGTTCTACCACAGGTCGGGTACAAATAGTCTAGATGAACATTTGGGGTGGATTCTAGTATTAGTGGAATACACAGTCCCTATCCTCAAGGAGCTAAATTTAATGAGAGAAAACAACACATAAAAGGAAGCTAAAAAGTTCAAAGCATGATAGAGTCAGAGAGTCAGGAGTGGAACCTGGAGAGAAAGGAAGATATGGCTGACCTGAGCACTTTTCTTAAAATGGAGGTTTTGGGAGGAACCAGCCAATCAAAGGAATGGGTCCCAAAGATAAAGGAAACTTCTCTTGTGAGAAGCCCAGAAGTAAAGTGAACTACCTGGGTGTGAAGGACTTTATGGCATAGAAAAGAAAGTCTGCAGAGTCTAGAGCACTGCCTGGAGAGGAGGCCTTGGCACAAGGCAAACATTTAACAAACACTTTTTGAGAACTAGACCCAAGGTGGCAGGAAGTCTAATACTTGGGAGTGGTAGAAAGCAGTAAAGACATTTGTTTAAAAAAAAAAAAGCACTCAGCACAGTATCTGGCATTAATAGGTGCTATTAAAATGCTTATTCTTTTCCTTCCCTGTTCCACAAAACTCTTCCAGTCACATCTAAAAAAACGTGACCAACAAATTCTGATGGAGAAATCCAGAAAGATTCAGTAAGACATTGGTCCAGTCCAGCTTGGCATAGGGAAACAGACAAGTAGATCTGTAATAGGAACGGGGTGGGGCCGATAGCATACTGCCTTTGGAGCGCCCTAGCACTTAGGGAGAAGCTGTACGTGAGCAAGAGGAGGTTCCAAACCGTTACCAGGACATCACACTGTGGTGGATACAAATATAAACTGGCACCATTGTCACCTTTAACCCAGTTTCAGCTCACAGATTCTGGGTGGGCTAAGAAGAGGACCTGCCCTCAGGGGTGACATTCTCATGTAAGGAGAGGAAGTTCAGAGGCTAACAGCAGTAGTAGTGTGACCCAGACACTAAGCACAGAGCCCAGTTTTATTTGCAGCATGTAGCCCACCCTGAAATTTAGCAAGGCAAGAATTCTAGACTAAAGGGGATCCTACATTCTGACACTCTGACAATAGAGCTTTCCAGACATCTGAAAAGGGATTAATCCAGTAATAGTCTGTTCTTTCTCAGACCTAAACCCAGATGAAAAACCTGTAGACTTCAGACCAGGGGGACAGAAATCAGACTTTGCCTGGGATCAGACCACTTTGGGAGTATTTAAAGTTCAGGTCTCCAACTTGTCCCTGAGATCCTAGAATAGCATAACACTAAAGAATGCAGCAACAGGACCAGCTCAGACCAGCCCTCACATAGAGTCCAAAGTCAGGAAGTAAACTGGAAGAGTGAGCAAACAAAAAAAAATCCCATCTTTAAAAGCTATTGTGATGGTAGGGAAGCCCAAGAACAAAACCAGAAGAAGAAAATTATTCCAAACAGCCAAAAGTTAAGTCTTAGAGAAAAGCACAGCTTAGGCACAAATTTGACTAGAATTGCTGGGAGAGATGAAGCCAGAGTTTTTTTTTTAAAAAAAGAGTTTTAAAATATTTTTAGAAAGAAAATCAGAGCACTTGAGGAAAAACTGGAAAAGAAATGAGAACCATGAAAGACAGAATTGGAAATGGAATTAATAGCTAGGTACAAGAGATACAAAACCTTGCCTAAGCCACAAACTCTGAAAATTAGAATGGACTAAATGAAAACCAATGATTCTATGAGGTAATAAACTATTAAAATAAAGTCAAGGGCAGCTAGGCAGTGAGTGGATAGAGCACTGGCCCTGGGGTCAGGAGGAGCTGAGTTCAGTTAGGGCCTCAGATACTTGACACTTACTAGCTGTGTTACCCTGGGCAAGTCACTTAACCTCTATCACCTAGCAAAACAAACAAAAAAGTCAGAAGACTGAAAAAGTGGAAGAAAATATAAGATATCTCATAGCAAAAACCACTAACCTTGAGAATACATTGTGGAGGGGAAAAAATAAGAACCATTGCACTAACTGAAAATCATGACCGAAAAAAAAGAGTCCAGACATAATATTGCAAGATTTTGTTAACTGCCCAGATCTCTTAGAATCAGAAGTAGAAATAGGAAGAATCTATCCATCACCTCTTAAAAGAAACCCCAAAATGAAAACTTCCAGTAACATCATAGCCAAAATCCATAGGAGTCAGATCAAATGAAGAATACTTTAATACACCAGAAAGAAAGAACCCAAGTACCAAAGTGCCACAGTCCACCACACACATGATTTAGCAGCCCCTTTGAACCCTTTCGTCATCACAGTTCATAGAGGGAGTCCAATTAGACAAGGTCTATCAGTGGTTTTGTTGTGTCCTGATGATCTCAAGAAAAGAATGGAAAGAGAGGGGGAGAAGAATACACTGGGGAGTGGAGAGGGAAAGGAAGGTTAAGGAAAATTACCTCACATAATCAGAGTGCTCAAGTAGACATTAATACAAATATGGAACACAGGGTGGAGAGAAGTAACCTCATTCTCAACAAAATTGGTCATAAGGAAGGACACATGTAAGTTTAGTACAGAAATATGTTTCATTCAGTGATGAAGTAGGGAAAGGGGAGAGGGTAAAGTTAGGGAGGGATTAGTTCTAAGCAAAACAGACTCTAAGGCTGTACAAAAATATCTATAATTCTTTTGAAGTGACAAACAATAGGAATCTGAGGGAGTACCCATAAACTGGGGGATGCATTAACAAGTTATAGTATACAAATGGCATGAAGTAGTCTTCTACTAAACTTTTAGTGTAATGGCTAACCAAGATTACAGAGGTCTAATGATGAAATGTGCTACCCACTTTCCAACACAGAAGTGAAGAATTCATAATGTAGAACGAGACAAAATGTTTTGGACATAGCCAGTGTGGACATTTGTTTTGATTGACTATAAATGTTTATTTTTCTTGTGTTCTCAATTAGTGTGGGAGGGGGAGGTAAGAATGTGAATTTTGACTGATAAAAACAAAAATACATTTGTAAATGCTTATTGACTGACCTTAGATTGGATTAGATGACCTCTGAGGTCCTTCTGGCTCTAAGTTTATGATCTTATGGACATATTTACAGAAATGGTAGGGCTCTTTGCCTGTTAGAAGATCCTACTTATTTTATATATATATTTTTTTTTACTGGCTTCTCCTCACTTAGAACCCAAAGCAGGAAATCCAGAAGATGTTAAAGTTTCTGGAAAAGGACTTATCAGAGGAAATCCTCAACAAGATCATTTATCACACCTCTTTTGATATCATGAAGCAAAATCCTATGGCAAACCATACTACTCAGCCTTCAAGCATAATGGATCACTCCATTTCCCCATTCATGAGGAAAGGTGCGTAAAGTTCATGTTCTGTGAGAAGTCAACCCTCGTACATGCTAATTGTAACTTGTCTAAGAATTCCCTTAACGCTGATTATCGTGGAGAAAAAGCATAACACTGCAGAAAGAGCAGCACGATTAGATCAGAAGACCAACTCTATCTCTAACCAATGTGACCTTAAGTCTTTGAGTCTCAGCTTACTCAACTATAAAAGTAGACAGTTTTTCCTAACCTGTCTATATCATAAGATCATTGTGAAGATGAAATGAGAACTGTAAAATTCAATGCAAATTTAAGCTATTATTGAAACACAGTCAGGTCAATGGCATCTCTATGTGTTCTTTGAAAAGCAAAATTTCTATCCCCCATTCATTTAATGACTCTATGACTATATGCCATTTTAAAAAGTCTACCTTGATGGCTTAACAATGTGGTTTTTCTACATTTCAGGAATTCCAGGGGACTGGAAGAACCATTTTACTGTTGCCCAGAATGAGAAATTTGATGAAGACTACAAGAAGAAGATGGCAGGAACCACTTTGACTTTTCGCACAGAGATCTAAGGGAGGAAATGGTGGAAACTCACCTAAAATTTTTTCCCTGGATTTTTTCCCCGATTAAACCTCACGGCCACATGTGCATCAAACTATAAAGCCTTTTCCTGTCTTGCTCTTTCTACCAGCACTCTACTTTCTTATCAGTCAATCAATCAATGAGCTTTATTATTGCATATTAAATGCTAAGCCAGGCAACAGCGATACAAAGACAAAAATGAAACAATCCCTCCTTCAATGAGTTTCTATAATCCAGCAAGAGGAGATAACTATATCTAGCTATGTAGATGTAAATGTGTGTATATAGGCATATATATATACACTTATATCTATATATGTATGTATATGTATGTTTTATGTCTGTATACACATATACTGTATATATATCTATCTATAGCTATATATATATAGTACATATATCTTTCAGCAACATGAAGTTACCCTGCTTATCCCCTTTAATTGGGTCTATTTTTCTTTTTGCTTTGTCTGAGACCATGATTGCTATCCCTACCTTTTTAACCTCAGCTAAAGTATAATAGATTCTCCTTTAGCCTCCCATTTTAACTCTGAGTATACCTCTCTGCTTCAAGTATATTTCTTATTGGATTTTGGGAGTGAGTTTATCCCTTTCACATTTATGTTTATGATTGCTAACTGTGAATTTCCCTCCATCCTATTTTCTTCTACAGAATGGTTGAATCAGTATACAATTTCACCAACAGTGCATTAGTGTATCAATTTTCCCACATGCCTTCCAACATTTATCATTTTCCTTTCCTGTCATATTAGCCAATCTGATAGGTATGGGTGGTACCTCAGAGTTGTTTTAATTTTCATTGCTTTAATCAATAGCAATTTGGAGCATTTTTTTGATATAACTTTGATTACTTCATCTGAAAACTGCCTGCTCATACCCCTTGGACATTTATCAGTTGAGGAATGGCTCTTATTTCCATAAATTTGACTCAATTCTGTATATGTTTAAGAAATGAGGTCTTTACCAGAGAACCTTGCTGTAAATTTTTTTCCATTCATAATTATTATGTATTTTCTTCCATCCTATTTTCCCCCTCTTTATCCTACTATCTCTCACCTTTCATCCTGTCCTCAAAAATGTTTTGCTTCTGACTTTTATTTCCCCCAATATGTCCTCCTTTCTATCAGCTCCCCTATTTCTTTTTTCCCCTTCCTCTCCTACTTTGCTGTAGGGTAAGATAGATACCCGCTGAATGTGTATATTATTTTCCCTTTGAGCCAATTCTGATCACAGTAAGGCTTACATGCTTCCCTCCCACCTTCCATAAAATCCCCTCCACTGTAAAAGTTTTTAGATCAGATAATTTACCCCATTCTACCTCTCCCTTTCCACTTCTCCTAATGCATTCCTTTCTCATCCTTTAATTTTACTTTTTTAGATATTATCCCATCATATTCAATGAATAGCCATGCCCCCTTTCTATATATACTCCTTCTAACTGCTGTAATAAAGAGAAAGTTTTTAGGAGTTACTAGTATGATTTTCTCATGTAAGGAATGTAAACAGTTTAACCTTATTAAATACCTCATGATTTCCCTTTCCTGTTTCCCTTTTGATGCTTCTCTTGAGTCTTGTATTTGAAAGTCAAATTTTCTATTCAGCTCTAGTCTTTTCATCAAAAATGCATAAAAGTCCTCTGTTTCACTGACTATCCACTTTTTGCCCTGAAGATTATACTCAGTTTTGCTGGGTAGGTGATTTCTGATTGTAATCCTAGTTTGTTGGTTTTTTTCCCTCCAGGAATACCATATTCTAACCTCTCTGATCCTTTAACATGGAAACTGTTGAATATTGTATTACCTGGACTGTGTCTCCATGATATTTCCATTGTTTCTTTTTGGCTGCTTACAATACTCTTCCTTGCCCTGGAAGCTCTAGATTTTAGCTATAATATTCCTGGGAATTTTCATTTTGGGATATTTTCAGGAGGTTATTGGTGAATTCTTTTGATTTATATTTTACCCTCTAGTTCTAGAATATCAAGGCAGTTTTCCTTGATAATTTCTTAAAATATGATATCTAGGCTCTTTTTTATCATGGCTTTCAGTTAATCCAATAATTCTCAAATTATCTCTCCTACATTTGCAGGTCAGTTCTTTTTCCAATGAGATATTTTACATTTTCTTCTATTTTTCTACTCTTTTGATTTTGTTTTATTGTTTCTTGATGTCTCAAAGGCAATAGCTTCCACTTGCCTAGTTTTAATTTTTAAGGAATTGATTTCTTCAGTGAGTTTTTCTACCTCCTTTTCCATTTGGCCAATTCTACTTTTCAAGGAGTTATTTTCTTCAATGAATTTTTGTACTTCTTTCTCCTTTTGGCCAATTCTGCTTTTAAAAGCATTGTTCTCTTCAGTGGATTTTTGTACCTCTCTTTACCATTTGGCCTATTCTGTTTTTTTAGGTATTGTTTCCTTCAGCATTTTTTGTGCCTCCATTATCGCATAGCTCTCATTTTTCTTCCCAATTTTTTCTCTACCTCTCTTCCTTGATTTCTAAAATCCTTTTTGAGTTCTTCCATGGCCTAAGACCAATTCATATTTTTCTTTGAGGCCTTGGTTGTAGCAGTTTTGACTTTGTTTCCTTCTGAGTTTGTGTTTCCATCTTCCCTGTCACCATAGTAACTTTCTATAGTCAGAATCTTTTTCTACTGTTTGCTCATTTTTCCTGTCTCTTTCTTGACTTCTAACTCTATGCTAAAGGAAGGCATTATTTCTGGAATGGAAGGGCTACTGTCCCAAGCTTCAGGTTTTTTTGTGTAGCTGTTTTCAGAGATAATCCTGGGGACCTATAAGTTTTCAGTTCTTCCAAGATGCTAGGGAGAAGTGTATTTATTATTTTCCTTGTCTGTACTCTGGTCTGTGAGCAATCACAAATACTCTTTTCCACCCTGGAACTGTGACAAATGCCCAGATCCCCTGCAGTTGCAAGCTCTTATGTCACAATTACTCACCCTAGGACTCAGACCCAGGACTGTGACTCAGATCCAAATTTGGGCAATGTAAGAGTCCTGGCCTGGTGCAATCAAAGGGACCCCTGTAACCTCCTTCTGACCAGTTGTCTGATCCCCTTACTATCTATGGGCTGAAAGATTTGATAACTGCCACTGAAACTACTCATTCAGTCACTCCCAAGGCCTACTGCTCATTTTCTAGGGCTCAGCATGCACTCGGACAGCACTCCACTCTCACTCAGGGCAACAGATATTTCCTGCTAACCTCTTAAATTCTCTTGGGCTGGGAAATTGTTTCACCCCATCCTTTGGTGGGTTCTTCCACTCCAGAATTTTTTTTGAAGCATTAAGCAAAGGCGTTTGGAGGGTTTGAGAGTTCAGGTGAGTTCCAGACTTTTTCCCACCATCTTGGTTCCACTCCCCACTACTACTATTTCTGTCACCATGACCTGGCCACACCAGTAGTATTTCATCAACTTGAGCTCCTGGTCAAGCTCCAACCTCATGTCCTAGATCTTTATTTCCAACCTCCTGAGTTGTCTCTCACTCTGATCTTTTTGTTGGCCCTACCACTCCAGAAATCAATTGGAGGCATTATTTTTAAGTTGTTTGGAGGGGAATGTTGGGAGAGCTTGGGTGAGTGCTTTCTCTATTCTGCCATCTTCATTCTGACCCTGAAAGTCTCTATGTTTAAAATCTTAAAAGACTAAGTGACTTGATTATATAAAAACGAAATTATTTGGCTTATAAAAACATCATAAGAGCCAGTATAATATAAGGGATAATTCAGTCTTACAGCTAGGAAGACCTGAATTCAAGTCCCACTTCTGACACATTGACTATTTGACTGTAGGCACAACACTTAACATCTGAGGAACCAAAGGAATTCTTCAAAATGTAAGTTATGGAGTAGGGAAATTCCCTTTGGTAGAGGGAATTGCTTTGTAAGAATTAACTTATGCCAATGAAATCATATATTTAATTTTTAAAACTAACAACAATATGGAAAAGGAAAGCTTTTTTTGTAAGCTTATTATCATTAATCAATAAACCATCAAAGTTTTACACTGCTTATAAAACCAGAGAAAATATTCCTATTTCCGCTTTCACTTTCATTGTAGAGAAGATGCTATATCAAAAATAAATGTCATCTAAAGATGCAATCCAGTCTTTTCTCTGTAGGGTCAAGTGTCTAAGTGTACTCCTTGGGAATCAGGTGTTGTTCATTATTATACATTATTAAACATTATTATACAACCAGGAAACCTCACTGACACCAAAAGAAAAACTTGAGACTAGAGCATCTCTGCCTCACACATTCCTTTAAAATATCTATCTGATTTTGACCCACACTCTGACTTGGCCTTGACATGTATCTCTTCCATAACCACTATTAAACAATTTAAATGAGGGGCTGGTAAGTGGCACAGTGGATACAGCACCAGCCCTGAAGTCCGCAGGACCTGAGTTCAAATTCTGCCTCAGACCAAACACTTGACACTTACTAGCTGTGTGACCCTGGGCAAGTCACTTAACCCCAATTGCCTAAAAGAAAAAAAAATTTAAATGAGAAATGCCAGAATAGTTGCATAGAATTGCATAGAAATACATCTATTTGCCCAAAAATCAAGAAGTATTTCAAAAACACCTACTATGTGCTAGGCATTATGTGGAAAGCTTGGGATATAAAGAAAGGCAAAACCAATATTTACTCAAAAGGTCACAGTTTAATAGGTGCTTTAATCACTCTTTAGCCCAAACATCACATCCTTGTGTTCTGGCATTCTGTTTGTAATTATATTCATCCACTACCAGACTTGGCATTCTCCCAAAGCAATCCATGAAGAATAATGTTGTAATGGTGAACTTGGACACTCACTAATTTATTCACCTTGATGTCTGTGACTCATGAATAAATCTCATGTAGCAGACTTCTGGCTTTTATTTAGGCAAAGCATTGCTTGCTTGCCTAAAAATTGACTGATTAAAATGAAAAACACTGACCACTCCAAGGGACAGCTTGTGAAGAACTGCCTTGTTCCCCAATTTGCTTTAGATATTAGGGAAGCCTCCAATATATCTGATCTTCAGACTCTAAATGTATTGAGTTTCTGGTCTACACTTTAGCCACAGTTAGTGATAAATCTGATGTATATAAAGAAACAGAACATTCTTCCTCCATGATTTTGAAGATTCTTTCTAGTGCTGACACGCTATGACACTGTATAAAAACACAGGAACTACAAAATGTAATGCAATGAAAGGAGATGAATCACAGTTATAATTAAATCCAGGTGACTTTTAAAATGCATATTGTACAACACCTTGGAAACTGATAGGAACATAGTAAGGAAAGCCAAGAAAACATGTGTCTTCTTTCCTGAAGATGTTCAAGACACTATAATGATAAAGGAGGATGTAAGATTGTGATTTGATTTCCCAATTTTCTCAACCTCTACATCTAATCAATCACCAAATCCTTAATCCTCATTCACAATATGTCTTGTCATACATTATGCTAGGCTATTTCAATATCCTCCTAACTATTCTTTTCACTTCTAATCTTAATCCACTCTAATTCATACTCCACACTTCTTCTATATTAATACTGATACAAACTGCTTTCATTCTACCTATCACCACTCAAAATCGTTCATTGACTTCCTATGATCCATAAGATAAAGTTTGACAATGTTAGCTAAACAGTTAAGTGAGATCCTTCAAAATCTCAACCAAACCCACATCTCCAACTTCATTGCCCTATATCAACCTGCTGCTCCAACCAAAATAGACTCATGGTAGCAAATGATAAAATGGTCCACTCTGCCCCCAACATGTTTCACATATTCCTTACTCCTTGCATTTGCTTACTGTATTCTCCCCAAGTAGAATGTCATCTCCTCCTTTCCCCATTACCAACCACAGCTTCTTCACAAAAGCTTTCCTAACCTCAGTGATTTCTTCTATTCTAATTTCCCCTAGCACTTGCTGTATGTCACTATCAGAGGATTATAGATTTAGAAGCAGAAGGAACTGCTGAAGTCATCTGGTCCTAACCCCTCATTTTACCAATGAAGAAACTTGGGCTTCAAAGATGTTTGAATCGTCCAAGGTCACAGGACTTAGTAAGTATCAGAGGCAAGATTGGATCTCAGATCTTACCAGCATTGAGGCCTGCATCCTATTTATAATGCCATGCTCACTAAGTATTTAAAATGTTCTCTCTTCCAGTACTATTTACTTTTTTATGTTTCTAATCTATGTCTCCTTAACTAAATTCTAAGCTCGCTGAAGAAAGTTCCTGTCTTTTTTTTTCCTTTTTTTCTTCTTTGTGTCCTACATAGTTTCTAATGCAGCATCTCATCTGCTCAACAATGTTTGTTACTGATTTGAATCCCCACAGAGGTCCAATAAATGGGTTTATAATTTTGCTTCTTAACTATAACAGGCATATTTCATACTTGTACCAAAGTCCAAAGTACTCCCATACCTGAGGACTTGATCATTCACTTAGTTTCTTCTACCCATTTCACCAAAATCTTTATCATTACCATCACCTCACATAACTTTCTTCTCACAAAGCACTTTGAAAACAAAGGAAATTTGTATAAACATTTGAAAGAAGACCCAGAAAACAATATACCTGAATACAACTGTTATGGGAAGCTATGGAATAGTTCTCCAGCCTCAACAGTCAACCACAAAGACAATCCTTAATAATCCTCCATATATTTTCCTCCAAAGCCAGTTTTGTTCCATGGACTAGTATGTATGCATTCTCCTGACTAAATAGCATGACAATATGCCTGAGGCTGGAATTTCCTCAGTGGGAAGATCAATTAATGGTTCTTCTCCTACATTACTGAAAACTTCTCAGTGCCATTTCTGGGTTCTTAATCCATGCCATACCCATTTTCTCTATATATTCTGACTGAGTGATCTCATCAGTTACTAGAGGTTTTTCATTTGGGTGCAAATGATTGTCATATCTATGTATCTAATTAGTGTGTCTCCTCAACACTTTCTGATATTCTTGTTTTACATGTGTTTTGTTTATATGTGCATGTCATCTCACCCATTAAAATGGAAGCTCTTTGAGGGCAAGGAGAGTTTCCCTTTTGTCTTTTTTCAACCAGACTAAAAATGAGAAATATCTCATGTCTACTTACATAATTGAATTTCCACTTCCACTGAAGAATTTAATGACCCATTCAAGAGCAGCACCCACTCTCCCCCTTTTCCTGAGTTTATTAGGTTATTAATTATAGAAAAGCAGTCAATGTTTACTTACCTCAGCTATCAACTTGGGAAATTGGGAGGGAGAGGGGCCTTGAGTGGAGTAGTCACAGAGATACTGAATGATTTCAGGGAAAAGACTCGCTAGCACTGAGCCTAAACCAGGAAGTGACTTTTGTTCTATTTGATGAAGCAAAATGTTAACCCTAATTCATGAAACTATTTTAGCCTATTGTACAATTTATCTCATTAAGGATTCCTGCAAATATCTTTACTTCAGAAACGCCTTAAGTGGATAGATGTCCAAAGCCATGAAAAGATTGTTAGATCAGACATTTCTCTCTCATGCAAAGCAATGCTTAGACAATGATACTGAAAAAAATAAACTAATTTTACTGGCAGTCTTATGACTTTAATGCAAAGTAAAAGTAGTGATAAATTTTTCTTCAATGCTGGCAATTACTACAGGACATTTCTACAAAGACCTAACACACACAAAAATCACTCTACAAGCAGAGGCTATTGCTTAAACTCTAAATTCCCTTGTACGTGCCTTGTTCTATAATTCACTAGGACTTCCTAGTGGTACAATGGAAGATCTGTAGAGATTGCTTTGAAGTCTCAGGACCTGAGATTGAATCCCAGCTCTGACACTCGCTGTGGCAAGTCATTTAACATCTGCTGGCCTCATTTTCCTCATCTGTCAAATGAAGAAGTTTTACCAGGTGTCCTTTAGAGTCCCTTCCTGCTCTAGAACTATGATCCAGTCTTACCAATGTGCTAAGTATTTAATAGTGAATGAAAGTCAATCAGTGGTACAGACTCCAAATAGTAAGTACCTTCATGTCTATCACTACATTCTTCCATCATTCAAGGCTTAAATGATGTTATAACGGCCTCTGCTGGTTATGGTTGACTAATTGTCATGATGAATGTAACCCATAAGGCCTCCAATATTGTGGTTCTTTTTATTTAGGATTTCACCTATCTCATTCCTCATTCTCAAAATCTGTATGAGAAGCAAGAATACTTGTTAACTTAACAAGTCCTAAATCTGGGAAGCTGCTCTGTATATATGGGGCTCCACACTGAACAAATGTTGCTACATATGGACCTCATATTTCAAATTAAGGGCCAAGCCATTTGCAAAAACTAACAAGTTTTCTTCCTCATCAGCAGTGGATATAAAAGTAAATCTATATCTGTCTCTCTGTCTCAGTGAGTCTGTCTCTTTGTGACTGTCTCTGTCTCTCTCTCTTATACATACACATAGCGTTTCTCTTCGTGACACAAACACAATAAGCTTCACCAACCCTAACCACTCAAAACTGAAATCCTCCCTGAATGTAGCTTAGGTGACTTATGTGATTACTTAGGTGTAGTCACTCCTATCAATTAATCAAACAGAGCATTCAAAATTCCTAATAGGGCTGCATGGAAAAGCTGCTCTCAGAGATGCAAAGAGGGTCAGCAATAAGAGACCATATGCTGGATTTGTTTGTTTGTTTGTTTCTGACAGTCCAGAAACATAGGTAAAGTCTGACTATACCAATGGACTTTAATCTTCAGGATAGATTTCTTTGTGCTGAGGTCAAGCGTTAAAAGTAACAATGATTGGGTAGCCAGTCAGATTTTAAGGAAAGATATTTAAACAAGCCCAAGTTCACATGCATTTAGTTTGCTGTCAACTAATGCCGTGCTTGGGCCTCATGTCGCTCGTTCCATTTTGGAATAACTGTAAGGAAACATATAAAGCTTTCTTTTCATCATTTTTTAAATTAATTTACAAAACATGCAAAAGAGGCAGGGTAAAATACAGAATCCCATTGGATTATAAACCTTGATTTTGATCCCTATATAGGGCCAGAAAAGATACATCAGCATGGGTGGTAACAAGAAGGTCAAAGCAAGGGTCACATTCCCTAACTGGTCATATGATGGGCAAGGCAACAGTTATCTCCAGTAAATAAGAGGTCATAAGAGGGTCACCTGCTCATGCTGGACAAGAGAGGTTGTTATGGAGTTACAAAACAAATTGGGGGATTTTCTATCATGCCATCCGCACTAGACTTAGACATAGAATTTGAGCAAAAGAGGGTGAAGATATCTTTGGCAGCATTCTTATGGTTTCACAATTGAACTTCATAACTAATAAACACATGGTGAACAGTGGATTAAAGTTGGAATCTATCTTATCTAATTATTCCTATATATGATTTATGTAAAATATGACTTAGTACATGCTTGGTCTTGTACTTATTGTTAGATGACTGACTAAATATATAATGCTAGATGAGCACATCACTAATGATTGCTAATAAACATTATCCCTTATGTAATCACACTGAAATGATTAATATTGATTAATATTAGTTGATTAATATTAATACTGATTGAAATAGAGTAGAGGTCTAAATGAATCATTTCTCACTAAGTGTAACTGAAGATTTTACTAAGAATATGTGAACTAGGTCTACTTTACAAAGCGAGATCTAATAAAGTGGAAAATATAAATTACATAAGAAAAACCTCCACATTTATAAAAAATAAAAAAAAACTGGGAAAACTGGAAAGGAATCTGTTAGAGATTAGGGTTAAACCAATACCTCACATCATATTCCAGAATATATTCTAAATGCCTATGCAATGTCAATATTAAAGGTCATACTATAGAAAACTAGAAGTGAAACACCTCTCCTACCTCTCACAGTTTTTGGTAGGAAATGTATTCTTTACCAATTAAGAGATAGAGGGAATAACAAAAGATAAAATAACTTGATATTTGCATAGGCAAAATTAATGTATCTAAAATGAGAAGGAAAGTGGCTGAATGAAAAAAAATTGTATTAAATTTCTTTTATAAAGGTTTGGTATCCAAGATACACACACACACACACACACACACACACACACACACACACACACACACACATACACACACACATAATGTCTGTATGTGTCTGTGTGTATATATATGTGTATATCAATAGATACACATTTATGCTTCCATTATTTTATATATTAACATATATTATTCAAATATTGACTAGAACATGATTATATGAATATAATATAAAACTAATAGTCATTCCCCAGTAAATAAGTGGCCAAAAACATGAACTACCAGTTCTCAAAAAAACACCAAAGTATTCACAATTACATGAAAAAATGCACCAATAAGTAAATGCAATAATAATAATGATAAGTGAAATAATACGTGAAATGCAAATCAAGAAAATCTTCTTTTAACTCAAACCCTAAAAATTAACAAAAAGAAAATGGCAACAGTCATTTAAGAAGTTATGGAAAGATGGCATACTAATATATGGGTGATGAAACTGTAAAATTGTACAACTATTTTAAATAGCAATTTGAAATTATGCTAATACAGCAACCAAAATGTCCATAGATTTGAACAAGAGGTTCCATTAGTGGGCTTTCTACCCCAAGAAAGGCATCATTAAGAAGAAAGTCCTCATAAACCCCTACATATGCACAACAGTACTTTTGTGGTAGCTAAGAATTGGAAACAAAGTAGATTCACATGAGTTGGGCAGTGATTAAACAAGTTGTTGTAGATGGCTGTAATTGAATATTACTGTGCTGTTAGAAATTATATGTGTGAAAAATATGGAGAAGAATGGAAAGATTTATGTGAAAAGATGCAGAATGAAGTGAATAGAGTTTAGAAAACAACAGTAACTACAACAATGTAAATGGAAAAACCAGCTACTTGCCAAAAATCTAAAGTAAATGCAGTAAAATTATTAAGATCAATCAGGACCAAAGAGATAAGAGAAAACACAACCAATCTACCTCTTTGTGGAGCTGAGAGATTCAGAGGTGGTAGACATCTCACTTTTTTGGGACTTTTTCAACAGACGTGCTG